GAGCAGCCGAGTGTCCTGGACTAGAAAGCAATAGATTTCTTGCTTCTGCCACAAATTCCCCCAGCTGTGAGCCTTCCAACCTTCTAAGTATTCCTTTATGTGTGGTTCAGAGTTCTGGGACCATCCTCTGAGCCAGCTTGGTTGGGTATTCTGTGTTGTTGTTGGCGGAGCTGTCTGCTATACATCCACCCGATCCGCCATCTTGTTTGTTCTCACATTGTGCTCTTTTAAAGAACACTTTGTGTGGGGTTTTCAACAACTGGAAAGGCTAGGTAGAAAGCCTTGCCCCGGGGGTGGGGGTGACAACAAGTTCATGATAAGGGGAGGAACAATTTGCAACGGGAAGCTGAGAATGGTCTTACAACTTGAAGAACAAGCATGTAATTAATGTCATTCAATTGTTCGATCAGTATATGTTTTGCTATGTATGTTCCTAACAGTGATATTTTTTTTAAATTACCAGTTCTTATATGTATAATTCTGTGATGCTGATTATATCCTTAATGGTTTGCAACCATTCTCATCTTCCTCTTCCCAGTTGTTCCACCACCACAAACAGAAACAGCCCCCAAAGCAGTGACTCCCCTGTTCCTTCTTCACCTCCTCCCTGGTTACCACTCACAACTCATCCCTGTAAGGAGTCCTGGTGTGCTGCTGTCGGATCAGCACTGGACTGCTAGCCAAAAGGTGATGGTTCAAACCCACCAGCTGCTCCTCAGAAAACCTATACAGGGTCACTGTGAGTCAGAACAACTCAACTGCACTAAACAACAACAACCTCAGCTAGATCGTTTACATAAAGGACATGGTTCCATGTTTGTCCTGTTGGGACTGACTTATTGCAGAATGTTTTGAAGGTTCATCCATGTTGTAGCATGTATCAGGACTTCATTTCTTCTTAGGGCTGAGTCATATTGCATAGAATGTATATACCACAGTCTGTTTATTTAATGATTCTGTTTCTTAAAAACAAAACAAGAAAAACCACTATTATAATCATTAAGGAACCCTAGTGGCACAGTGAGTAAAGCATTGGGTTGCTAACCACAAGGTCAGCAGTTCAAACCCATCCTCCGCTCCACGGGACAAAAAGATATGTCTGCTTCTCAAAAGATTTACAATCTCGGAAACCCTAGGAACAGTTCTTTTCCACCCTATAAGTTCACTGTGAGTTGGAATTGACTCAGTGGCAGAGGGTGGTGTTGTATGAAGGAATCGTGGTGGCACCAGGATTAAGAGCTCACCTGCTAACTTAAAGATCAGTGGTTCAAATCCATCAGCCATTCCATAGGAGAAAGGTGAAAAACCTCTGGAGTAGTTCTACCTCATCCTATACACTTGCTGTGACTCTGGATCAACTTGATGACAGTAGGTTTATTATAATAATCAGATCACTTCCCCTCCTCAGCTCAAAATCCTGTACAGCTCCCAGAGCACAGCGGTCCCCAGCCTGGAGGATTGGGCCTGGTTTGTGTACCACCTTCACGAACTCCCTTATGCCACACTGGCCCCTTGACTATCCTTGAACTCTGTGAAGGCTCTGTGAAGACTGATTTCTCCTTCTGGTACACTCTTCCTCCAGCCACTTGGCTCCCCCTCGCCTCCTTCCAGTCTCTGATCCCAGGTCTCCCTGCTGAGACTGTAAGATTGCTGCCTTCACTCCCCACCCTAAGCCCTTGCTGCTCCACTCCTGTCCTTGAGCACTTGGTACTTTCTCAGGATCTGTCATTGTTGGTTGACTGTCTCCCCCTGCTGGAATATAGGTTCCATGAGAACCTAAATTCTCTGTCTGGCCTACCTGTTGTCATTACAGTAGCACTGCCCCATAGGGTTTCCAAGACTGTAAATCTTTATGGAAGCAGACTGCCACGTCTTAATCCTGTGGAGCAGTTACTGGGTTCAAACCACTGACTGGTAAGCTAGCAGCTGAGTGCTTAACTACGACGCCACCAGAGATCCCACTTATATCCTGGCACATGTATGAGATTTGCTGAATCAAAGAAGATTTGCTGAATGAATCAATCAATCAATCACATAGGCCAACAGAACACATCTGAAAGCCCTTCTTGTCCCTGGGACCTCCATTTGCAGCCTCTACTATAGATGTGCAGTGAGTCAGTGCTGTAGATGTTGGGTTAAGGTGTTTAGTCACTACCCCCACTCCACCTGGCCCAGTTCCCTGTGTCTGGGAGTCACTGTGACGGTGCCTAAACTTCATGGATCAGAAGGCAGATGCAGGTAGACAGCTGGCTCTCTGCCAGGCTTCTAAGCGTCGGATGGCATGTGCGGTCTGCCTGGGTCCTGGTGCTCCCAGACCCGGCAATAGGCAGAGAGCATTTTCAGGGGCACAGATGGGGTACAGTTAGTGGGTCCATAGGACTCAGAGAGGGTCTCCCATCTGCACTGTGTTTCCTCTCCAGGGGGGCTCCTTTGGCCGGGGCACAGCCCTGAAGAGCAGCTGCGATGCTGAATTGGTCATCTTCCTTAACTGCTTCAAAGACTACCGGGACCAGGGGACCCTTCGAGCAGAAATCCTTGATGATATGAGAATGCAGCTGGAATCATGGGTCCAGAACCCAGTCCCCGGCCTGAACCTTGAGTTTCCTGAACAGAACAAGCCCGGAACTTTACAGTTCCAGCTGACATCTGTGGCCCTGGAAAGCTGGGTAAACATGAACCTGCTGCCTGTCTTTGATGCTGTAGGTAAGAGACCAGTCTGTGCTTTGTAGATTGATGGGATTCAGGGGGGCTTGTAGATTGGTGGGGCTCAGATTGTGACCTTCATTTCCTTACATCACCAAGCTTTATAAAGTACTCTGAGATGCCTAATCATCATCACTGGAGTCCAAGTGCAGTGCTGTTGGGTAAGCACTAGGCTGCTACCCTCAAGGCCAGATGTTCAGACCTACCAACTGCTTCTTGGAAACCCTATATAGGGTTGCTATGATTCTGAACCAATTTGACAGCACTTAATAGCAAAAATCATCATCACCACACACTACAGCTATTTAATCAAAACAAAACTCATTGCCATCAATTCTGATTCATAGCAACCCTATATAGGATTTCTGAAGCTGTGAATCCTACAGGAACAAAAAGCCTCATCTTTCTCCCTCAGAGCAACTGGTGGATTTGAACTGCTGACCTTGTGGTTAGTAGTCCAGTGCTTATCCTACAGTACTACCAAGTCTTCTATAACTATTCAGTACTTTTAAGTTCAAAGCTCTGCACTGTAAAATGTTTCAAGCATACAGAAAACTGTAGACATCCCATATCCATGTTCCCCAAAGCTATTTTTGCAAATTTAAAGCAGACTTTAGCAAAAATCTACTTGGACTTTTTTTAAATTACATGTTATAACATCTTTTCTTATTTGTGGAGGTTTACTTTGTAGGTTTTTTTCCCTAACTTTTTGGGATGAATTTTAGCTTAGTCATTGTCTGTCTTAATAAAGGCAATGAAAGCTATACATTTCCCACAAAGTGTTACGTTAGATACGTGACACAAGTTTTGATATATTTAATTTTTATTATCTTTCAGGTCTAATTATTTTGTAATTTTAGGTTGCCAAAAAAATTTTAAAATTTTCCCTTCCCATTCAACCTGGGTCTCAATCCATGTATCTATGCACAGAACACTGTTGTTTCAAGGTTGTGTATATATATCACTGTTTACCTCTATCCCCTTTAGTACATGCTTACCTCCCTTCATCATTCTTCTGTCACCATCCCTTTTCGTGTATATTGCCCTTCCTGCCACCAGCGCTAACAGGTGTCTACCCTCTCCCCACCCCAGATAACCCTCAAAGGTTTCTTTTAATATGGAACTTTTCTTAAGCTTTTGTAATAATGGTGTCATACAATATTTACTCTTTTGTGATTGACTAAATTCACTCAGTATTAACATCTTTCAAGTTGATCAATGTTATGAGGTGTTTTGCAGATTCATTGTTATTTTTCAACATTGTTTAGTATCCCATTGTGTGTATGTACTAAAGTTTGTTTATCCATTCTCCCATTGATGGGCATTTAGGCTGTCTCCATCTTTTGCTATTGTGAATAGTGCTGCGATGAACATTGGTGTGCATATATCCACTCGTGATCTGTATTGTATTGCTTGCGGATATATATCAAGTAGAGGAATTGCTGGGTCTTGTGGTATTTCTCTTTCCAACTTTCAGAGGAAGAACCATATATACTATTTTCCAGAGTGGTTGAACCATTTTAAAGTCCCACCAGCAACAGCATCTCCACACCTTCACCAGCGTTTGATGTTTTCTGTCTTTTCAAACTTCTGTGTTAATGCTGGTGTGAGACGATACCTCATTGTTGTTTTGATTCACATCTGTCTAATGGCTAATGATTATGAACATTCCTTCATATGTTTGTTGGCTGCCTGAATACCTTCCTTGTTGAAGTGTCTCTTCATGTCATGTGCCCATTTTTTAATTGGGTTGTTTGTCATTTTTTTTTGTAGAGGTGTTGTAGTTTTCTATAAATCATAGATATTAGTCCCTTGTCTAATATGTCATTGCAAAAAATTTTCCCATTCTGTTGGCTTTCTTTTTACTCTTTTTGCTAAATCTTTTGATGGACATAAGTTTCTAATTTTCAGGAGATCCCAGTCATCTATTTTATCTTCTACTATTTGTGTGATTTTAGAGCCCCTGAGTTGGTCTCGTTTTTTTCATTGATTATCTTTATAATTCTCTGTTCTACATTTAGGCCTTTTATCCATGTTGAGTTTGTTTTGTATTTAGTGTGAGATACAGGTCTTGCTTCATTTTTCTGCAAATCAATTTCCAGTTTGCCAGCACCATTTGTTGAAGAGACTATCTCTTCCCATGTAATGTGTTTGAGTCCTTTGTTAAAGATCAGTTGACAGTATGTGGATGGGTTTACTTCTGGGTTCTCAATGCTGTTCCATTGATCTGTGTGTTTTTCATTGTGCCACTACCAGGCTGTTTTGACCACTATGGCTGTGAAGTAGATATTGATATACGGGAGTGAGAGGCCTCCAACTTTGTCCTTCTAACTATGTTACCTTTTGACCCATGAATATTTGGAAGTGAGTTTCCAAATGAATGTGTTGGGATTTTGTTCCCTTGATTGCTTTTGGCATTTGGTATCGTCTTTTTCAAAATGTAGAGAATGAACAAACTTATGAGGAATTTATTGAGACTTTCAAGGTTGCCTATAACTAAAAAAAAAAAAAAAAGATTTGTACAATGCAGACTTTAATATAGTTGTTGTTGTTGTTATGTGCCGTGGAGTCAGTTCAGACTCATAGTGACCCTGTACAGGGTTTCCGAGGCTGTAAATCTTTACAGGAGCAGAAAGACTCGTCTTTCTCCCGTGGAAAAGTTGGTAGTTTTGAACTGCTGACCTTGTGGTACACAGCCTGATTCATAAACCACTATGCTACCAGAGCTCCTTATGTAGTAGGGCCTTTATATCTATTTGGTTATTAATGCATTATTTATTTTATTATTTTTTTTAATTTAAGGTTTTTATTGTGGATTGAGTGAAAGTTTACAGGGCACATCATCAGTTTCACATTCAACAATTCATATAACTTGTTTCATTACATTGATTATAATCCCCTCCATATACCAATCAGTTAAAAGTATTTCTCTCTATCCACTTTGGCTTTTTTAAAAAAAAACACAAAACACAAAGAAAAAACCCATTCAGGCATACATAATAATGTACATCTCCAAAGGGCACATTCTGCAACTCTGCTCCTGACCACCTGTTCTTAGTCCTTCTCTTCTTAGTTGATGAATCTAGAGTCCTCAGCCGCTCCCCCTTCTCCATGCCCCCATTTCTGCCTCCACTCTGGCGCTGCTGCTCCTCTGGATAAAGTCCCGCATTTTGCTTGTCTGTTCCTCTCTTGATGGTCCTAGGGTCCTCTGTTTCTGGACTGTAAAATTAACCACTCCCCTTTTTTTGTTATAAAACTTCTACCTTTACAAGTGTGACCGTCGTGATTAGTCATGATAACAGTTATTCACTATTGAATCTTGCGAATATTATCCCCATCTCCTTTCACCAGACCCATCTAGACAAGATGA